GCAGATGTATTAATCTTTAATCAATTGAATGCTTTCTTCAGTATTCAGGGAAAGAACAGGTCATGGCAAGCGTTCGCCTAGAGTAACTAAGTGCTCATGCATGAGCTGTGCCATCAGACCTTCCTGGATGGCAGCAGGGAATAGATACAGAGATAAAAATAGCCTTTCCTTGCAGTGTTTTTCCAGCCTATTTTTGATCCTTCATTTTGATAAGGTCAACTGGCTGTTTGCTAAAAAAAACCAATCCCGGCAAACTGAGGACAAAAAGTGCAGTATTTATAACCATCTCAAATTCTTTAGTACATTTGTTGGCTGCAGATAATCTAGGATCTTGTCATTGGTCAGTTGCCAGTGTTTTATGTAAGTCGGTAATAAATGAAGCATGAATTGGAATGAAGGAGTGTATCTTGTGACTCTGATTTTCTCAGATGGAATACACCTCTCTTGTGTGTATATCCTTGTCGGTTACCTTGCCCAGTTCTTCATGATGTGGTCTGAGTTGCTTCAGAAAGGGAGCCTGTTTATATTCTAGTGATGTAGCTAAGCCAGACAAGTCTGCAGCACGGTGTCTATTTTTAGACTGCGGGTTGCCATTTATAGCTTGCAAAAATATTAATAGGCATCTGGATAACAGGCTATCAATTTTTATAAATGCACAAGAGAAATCAGATATTCTACCTCTTCTTTGCTTTGCCCTTTTATGTCCTGCCTTATATGACTCTTTTGGGGGTCATCTTGGAATTTATTTTTAAGGGCTTTACCATCATGCCATACATTTCCATGCTGCCGCATAGAGCATCACGTATTTTCTGCTGGGATGATCAGTATACAGAAGAGAAAGAAATGCTCAGAGAGCCTTCTGCTACTGTCTCCACACATGTAAAGCAGCTGCATGTGAGATTATGGTGCACCATGTGCAGGCAGTGCTGGAAGCAGCACATCCTGAAAACATCTTTATGATAAAAGGAGATTGTTTTACAAGGCAAATATGAAGGGGGAAACTAATGAATTGGGGACATCTTTTTCAGCTTATTTTCAACCTATTGCATCCATAACTAAAAAAATCATAGCTCTTTTTTTTTTTTTCTTCTGAAAAGTTTGTTACTTTGCTATCTAGAAGCCAATTGCATTGTTTTATCTCTTGACCCAGTCCAGCATACACCTCCAGTGCTGCTGGTGTGTGACTGATGACACTGGTCAGTGCAATGATCTGCCTGATGTTTGTAACTCTACATCCTCAACTGCCTTCCTGAATTAAAAGGAAAAAAGAAATGTAAATGTACTTTGGAGATCTGCTGCTATAGCTCCCACTGAAGGGTGTGAGACATGAGGACATTCAGTTAGGCAAGTGTTCCCTTCAAAGAAACTATAATGTGGCAGAAACATGCAGATAGAAATGCCCTGCCCGTGTACAATCCCCCCTCCCCACACCTTTCAGCTGTCACAGCTTGCAGATGTATTAATCTTTAATCAATTGAATGCTTTCTTCAGTATTCAGGGAAAGAACAGGTCATGGCAAGCGTTCGCCTAGAGTAACTAAGTGCTCATGCATGAGCTGTGCCATCAGACCTTCCTGGATGGCAGCAGGGAATAGATACAGAGATAAAAATAGCCTTTCCTTGCAGTGTTTTTCCAGCCTATTTTTGATCCTTCATTTTGATAAGGTCAACTGGCTGTTTGCTAAAAAAAACCAATCCCGGCAAACTGAGGACAAAAAGTGCAGTATTTATAACCATCTCAAATTCTTTAGTACATTTGTTGGCTGCAGATAATCTAGGATCTTGTCATTGGTCAGTTGCCAGTGTTTTATGTAAGTCGGTAATAAATGAAGCATGAATTGGAATGAAGGAGTGTATCTTGTGACTCTGATTTTCTCAGATGGAATACACCTCTCTTGTGTGTATATCCTTGTCGGTTACCTTGCCCAGTTCTTCATGATGTGGTCTGAGTTGCTTCAGAAAGAACCAAAACAATCCTCTGTTATATCAGCCAGTCTTACAAAAATAGCTGCATATGCAATTAAAAGTGCAAAAGCAGCTTTACCTTTTGCATGCCTGATACTTTAGCTGCAGAAATTTACGAGGGGTGTGATTCATGTAGCTTCCCCCATGAAAAGATGTCTTTCTCCAGCCCTTATGTGCCACTGTCCCTCTGATGAGATGAAATCACAGCTCTGCCAGCAGCAAGAGAGTGACAGAGAGATTGTGTAACCAAGTAACTGGAGAAGGACTGTGGAGAAATTGTCAATATAAATTATAATTTGACCCCAAGGCAGGTTTTAAGAAACTGGGTGGTTATGGGGACAAGGGGAACATACAGCAGTCAGCCCAACCGTGTGCTCTCTTGGATGCATTCTAACAGAGAAAAGCAAGAATTACAGTGTTAGCATTTGTTTGGGAAAAAAATAATCTATCATACATTACATGTGAGCAACTGCCATTCTTCAGTTAAGGTAGAGAACTATTATCAATTAATATTTTCTCTTACAGATGCTTTGCTTGGGATCTATTCAGTTTCCATAAAGGAAAACTCATCTTCACAGATTCATAAATATTTCCCTAGAATGGGCCCCACCTATGCTGTTTGCTTAACTGCAGTGCAACACAGGTTAATAATTTGAAGATTTGCAGATTCTCCCCTCCCACAAACATGAACATGTCAAGGTTAGGCCTGAAATGTACATTAGGGAAGTTTTTATAACCAAAAATCAGTGCTGTATGGAAAATTCCCACCTCTAACCTAAAAGCACTCAACATTTTTCTGGAGTAGAGAGAGAAGGGGGGAAAAAAAGCAAGAGATACTGGAAGATGGCAAAGACCATGAAACTGTCCTCTCTGTGCTCAAACGAATTATAACCTGAACACAAAACTGTATGTAAAGTGGATTTTACCATCTTGTTTAATTACAGTGGACACAAGCAATGAAAGCACAGTGTTATACCCATCTTGATAGCATTTTTATTTTAGATGTAATGCAGACCTGGATGGCTTCACCATTTCAGGTACTGTTCTGTTTCCCTATTGCTTAACAAACTGGTAAAAGAAAGGAATGTGAGGGGAGACAGTCCTTAATAATTTCTCTTTTTTTTTTTTTTTCTTTTTTTGTAGAGATTTATCACACAGGGCAAAAAAAGGCCATTGATAATAATGATGTGAGATAGTGAGCAGAGAGAACATCTAACATGGAGGTAGCAGAAGGAACAAACAATTTGTACAGGCAGGGTCTCTGGGTTTTTTTTCTGTCAGGGTATTCTTACAGCAAATAAGAGTCAATTTAACTTCTATGTCCACATACACAGGACTTTCTAAATGTTTACTAAGCCTTTTCCAGTAAAAGGCATGTTCAAAATTTATGGGGTTTGTACAGTCAAAACAAATGTTGCTTATTCCAACAGCAGACTCTTAACATCGCATTTCTGTCTAGCCTCATTTCCAGTTTTATTTTGATTTTCTGTGACCAAGTTAATATTCCTCAGTGGAGAGCTCATCAGGCAGGTGTTAAACCTGAAAAAATAATGTGCAAAATAATCCATGCAACCAAGCATGTGTCGGCCCTGCTATTTTGAGTTCAGATGGAAGCAACTCTGTGCCCTATTATATTAGCTGTGAGGAATTTGAAAGTGTATGACACTGTTTCTCCTAGAGAGGTGTGCTTTCTTAGCTGCTTCCTCAGAGGCAGTACAATAAACCTGCTTCCTAAGCAGTAAACAGCTATGGGTGTGTGCTGCTTTGGTTTGGTGGGATTTTTCGTGGGGTGGAAGGGCCCCAGGGGTGGCTTCGGTAAGAAGCTGAGAAGCTCCTTCTGCTGCAAACCCAGCCAAGGAGCTCTTAGAGGGACAGTAGATGGGGCTCTGCCATTAACATACGAAAGAACTGAGATTAGATGTGAGCAGAGCAAGAAGTTAAAAAAGAGCTGAGCTGGAGAGATGAAAGGCAGTGCTGGGGTGAAGATCCTGGTGGTTGGTGAGGAAGAAGGGGAAGAAGGTGCCCAAGCAGAAGTTTCCCTGCAACCCCCGGCGAGATGGCAGCTGTTCCCCTGCACTCATGGAGGAATGTGGTGGAACATTCCCTGAAGGTGCCAGGAGGGGTGAACTTGGATTTGCTGCCAGTGGACTCTGTGGGAAGCCCAGGCTGGAGCAGCTCCGGACCTCGTGGGAAGGACTCAGGAAGGAGAGGTTCCTGAAGGACTCTCTCCCATGGGAGGGACCCCGTGGGGAAGCAGGGCAGGACTGTAAGGAATCCTTCTTCCTGAGGAGGAAGGTGCAGCAGGAACCACCAGCCTGTGAACTGACTCTAAACCCCATCCCCTGTCCCTCTGTGCCACTGGGGGGAAGGAGGGAGAGAAACCGGGAACAAAGGGATTTGGGGCCGGGAAGAAGGGAGGGGTGGGGTAAGATATGCAATCCCTGCTCTGTGTGTTGTCTGTGTCCTGTGTGTGTTTGATTAGTGGGAAACTAAATTATTATTTTTCCCCAAGTTCTGTTTTGCCTGTGACATCAGTGAAGAACCCTCCTTGTCTCCTGTCTTGACCCACGAGCTTCTAGTTGGCCTTTGTCCTCCCCATCCCAGTGTGTGCTGGGGTGGGGGGGAGTGGAAGTTGAGTGAGTGGCCATGAGGGCTGGTTCTTGGTTGTCGTGTTAGGCCCAAACCACCAGGTATTTCACCAAACAAGGGTGTTGGATACTATCTGATGTGAAGTTAAACTGGAAACCAACTCAAAATTAAAAGCTTTACAAAACTTAGACTACATGGTAAAAGCCTCACCCTTACAGATGAACCTGCACACATGCTTATTTATCCATAGCTGAGGTTAAGTTAGAGCTGCCACTGAGTTCTGTCTCCCATAAAAGCTTCTTTGTGAAAGCAGTAATCTTCTGGCCCTGAAATAGTTAGATCAGATCAACATTCAGGAAAAGGGAAACTTTACACACTTTAACAATCTCAAAGCATGAAATGAGCATAAAAAAATGACACCAACAGGGCCTTATAAGAGAGTTAAGAGCATATTCATTAGAAACGAAATACAAAATACAATGATGCGGCAGGAAACGGGGCAGCAGGCAGACGAGACCCCCACCATTCCCTACCCTCACCCCAATCCAAGGAATGCACTTACATAATACAAATTAGAGATCTCAAACAGGGTGAGAGGAGTGGTTTTATAAAGTTATTTTCTTGCTATACAGAAAATATATTATTTGCTGGAAATCACTGCTGAGCTCTCGGGGGCCCAGGGTCAGTCACTGCTCAGGAAACCCCCTGAAGTCACACTGACCCTACTGCTTCCCCACCAGTTTGCTGAACACATCGTACATCTCTGGCTTTTCCTGTGCAAACTGCTCGGCTGTGTTTTTCTGTAGCCAGTCAGATGAACGCATCTGTTGCTGCAGGAGGCCAATGAGGTCACCAAGGTTGGAGGTACTGGCACAGCTAGGCTCCTGGTGGCGGGACACAAAAATTACTTCATCTGTGCTGTCTGCTTTGCCATCCTGATCTGACTGACAAGGCTGCTCCTTCTCCTCTGCCAGTATCTCCTGCTCCCGCTCTTC